AATGATTCGTCCAAAGCAAATGCAAGGGAGGACTTGAAACAGCAGAACCTAGAAAACGAAAATATGTGAAAAGACAAACACAATTTTTAACGATATGCAAAAAAGTTTATTTGTTTGGAAATACGTACAAAACAGATTCAACGAAACAAATTATGGATAAAAAAAAAAATGCTGAAGTGAAGAGATAACGCCGATATCGTTCTCTTAACGGCCCCCACAACGAAAGCCAATACGCATTACGTTACGCAATATACATGTACATGTATATATGGTGCACGCTTAACTTTACGATAAAATGGGCTACCACTAATCAGTATTCCTAAACAAATTTTACAACAAACGAAAAACTTTTCCCCTATGACAAAAAAAAACCAACGACAAGACAACCACTAGTCGTCGGCTGCGGAGAGCCGGGGGAAAAATGAAACAATAAGCAAAGCTGACAAAAAAAATAGCAGCAAACATGAAAAAATGAATGAAGAAGTAACTGAAACTTTCTTCAGATGAAATCCACACGGCTTCGTGTAAAGCCTTAATTTTCATCAAATGATATTAAAATGAAATATGCTCAACAATTTAGTTTGGCGAAGAAATATCACAGTTAATTCCAGTTTTAACTGTTCATTTTTCGGTATATATGCAGTGTCTGGTCCACACCAAAACCAAGTACGAACGAAGGAAAACTTCGAAAATGACGTCAATTCAGAAGAACCAAATGAAATCAATTACACACTTCTTTATCTAAATTCTATTGAAGTTAAACTTTGCCCTTGTGCGTGCAGCCCTGTTTACCGTTCGACTCAATGACCACATTTCAACATTGCAAAAATGAATTTCGGTTTGCGAAGGTACCATTCTTTGCAATGTGATTCCAAACTAGATTTCAACACTCTGACACTAAATCGCATTGGAACCATTTAAACATGAATATTGCAAGTAAATTTCCACATTGTTGTAATTAAAAAGAAGCAGATGAAGATGAAGAAGAAGAGGAATGAGAAAAAAAAATGTGAGAAATCATTGGAGCAACGACATTTGTTTGGATTTCACATTTTTATTTGAAAAATAAAAAAGTCAACGCACGTTCATAATTTGTTGCGAAATGGTAACTATTGTGCTTGCGAAAAATCTGTGGTATGCGATTGTGTGTGTGTGTGTGTTTGGTGGGAGGGTATAACAATGGCAACAACAAGTACAATCATAAAAGCTACATTTAAACTTCAAACTGTTATGAAGCACACAGCGATATATATATATATATATATATATATATATATTCTGCTCGGTACTACCTCTCTAGGGTCTATTCCGCTTTAAATCAGAGTTTTTTCTTCCTTAGTTTAGACTTTTTTCTCTCCCGCCGCTTTGTACACATTTTTTTTTCTTCTATTTTTCGAAATGTTCGCTTCAGCAAATTATTTCTCTTATCTGGAAATGGCGCCATTTCGCACTGCTACTTTTGTTCCGTGGCAATTCAGAATTGTATTAAATAAATGAGTAAATAAATAAATAAACTTGGGCAAGGGACGAAGAGGAGCGTAAACGACAATGGAGAACAGCAGAAAAAAAATGTCCATTTCCAGTGGGTATTGCACATTTCACAGTGCAATATTGCTTCCATTATAAATGACTGTTGACCGAGCTTATGATTGCTTTCTTTGCTCTCGAAAGCAGTTCAAAGTAAACTCTCCATCTATTAGATGCAAAACTTCAATAGAAAATAAAACAAAAGAAAAACGACATATTTCACCTTCATAACAAGCAAAGTTGGCACTTCTCTGTGTCTCTCTTCTCATCATACACACACACACACACACACACACACACTATTTCCTCCTTTATTCGCAACAAGTGCATGTGAAATTTAATTTCCTTCGCTTTTATGCACAACAACATAAATATTCAAATAAAGTTCAAATTTATGAGATAATTGTCGTCAGCAGAAATAGTTTTGCCACTACAAGACAACGGCATTTTTTGCCATTTCAATTCATTTTACACGCAGACGTAGGAATCGGTACGCACAATGCTGCAAGTGCAGACAATTTGCTAGTTACAAAAGTCAGACGATTATTGGGAAGAGCAAAACCATTTCCGATAAACTATGGCTGAACAACTTTTTTTTTCTGATTTCAGAATCATTTGAAAGAAAGAAAGGATCATTTATTACAGAAACCCTGGTGCTTGGCTTTAAATAATGGTAAACAAGTCAGTTTTCATCGAAACATAGTGTGCTGTTCACATCTTCTTCCGGAATTGGAAGAGCCGGAGATCAAATATTGTGAGCGCATATTTTATCCCTGAGTGATTACGACCATCGCTAAATTCTATTCTATTCATACCGAAACTGAAAAACTCTAGCTCACTTTTGTGTAGTTCATCGGCACAAGATACGATCAAAGCATGGCCAACTTGAACAAAAATAAAGGATACTCGTTGTAAGAGGCTTCGAAGTGTTTCACAGGCAAAAATACATGCTTTCCGTATGTATACCGCTTGAATGGAGGCTTGAAGTAATATTTGAACGAGAAATTCATCTAAAAATAAAATCATTTTCAGCTGTAGAGTTACTGTTTGAAATGAGTTAGGATTTATGTGATATCATATACGCCGTTCAAAGAGTGAAATTCAAGCGATTGTTTTTCTGGTTTTGCACAAAATAATCGATAAAGCATGGAACTGAAATGTAATACCTAGACTGAAGATGAAGAAGTGAGCTGCTTTTGATGATTTCCTGAAAATCCGAATTGATTATCTTACGTCAATGCAATAGGAAGCAATATAAAGGAGCGTAATAGCAAAATTTGTTGAAAATAAATAGAATGGTTTTTGTTTGAATGTGTATCAATTGGCAGTAAGTTCGTGTGGTGGCCGCTATTTTATGCATAAATAATGAGACGACTTTGCCACAAGAATCAATGAATTCTAATCGGGAATTTTGACAAGTGTTCCACAAACGGTTAACAACACGACAAACGTACGCATAATGCATACACAGAGACGTCAACAATAAAAACAGGTTATTTGCATTTCATTTCAATTTCATTCGCATTCAGTTGATTATGTACGCCACAGATTTATTGGTTTGATAAATTTTATAAAAATAAATTTGCAATTCAAAATACGCAATTTGCCGGTTTCGAAAATCAAAACGATGATGCCAGAACAATGTAAAAATATCAGTGCGGCACTTGCACAGTATCGGGACTTGATGTGCCATTGGCAATGGGCATCACCCATTTATTAAAAATTCATATGAATTCTTTTTCTCTCTCTCTCTCCCTCTATTGCTGCTGCTGCTGCTCGTTATCAAATTTTCGTCTTTAGCGCCAACACATTGCCACAACTGCCAGCACCACAACTCAAACACTCATTTACGCTTCATATCAATTTATAGATGATTATCATTCTCAATGACATTGATATTTTAACATTATTGTTTTTATTTTTCTGTGTGTTTTCACCATCTCCTGCTTCGATGTTATTCCCTTTAATTGGAATATTAATTACTTTGATTTTCATATTGAAGCTTTCATTTGGGGGGAGAATATTTGCGATAAGCGCACGTGCACCACACAAATGAGTAGTACATGTTTTGAGTGAAGTGTGCAGACATTCAAAGTGAAATGGTTTTTCGTGTAACACAACAAATTTTATTGAGCATATTATGCTGAACAATCCCATTAAAATGCTAGTGAATTTGTAACATCCTTCGAAATGTGGATGATACGGGTTTTCGGTATAAATCCCTTGGCAGATGCATTTAAGTGTGGCCGCGCTATTCAAGCGCGAAGAAAAAAAAATTCTTAATAGATTAATTATTGTAGACGGGATCCGGATTGGGAATCCAAGGCACGTCGGAAGAGCAATAATAAAAATACGAAAGTGACTTTTGTTTAATTTTTCCGAAATCATTTCGTAGCAGCGAAATGAAATGAAATTTAAGTTGTGCCACTCGCACCCACCACCGAATGTCTTCGAATCAATTTGTTACTAGAAACAAAAGTGTGTGTGTGACAGAATTGGGACGTGTGTTTTTAACGTATTCCATACGCATGCCGTTGCATAAATACCTCCGCTTTTTTACAGATGAGATTTTGAGCACTTGTGTTTGTGTGTGTGCTTCGCTGTGAAAGAAAAAAAAACATAAGCATGTCGATAGGCAACCCTTATGCTAATGGTAATTGCAGGCATCGTAAGTGCCGAACATAATAATATTCAACTTGAAATACATGAGCTGTTTGAAGTGCAATTATCAGCAAATGTGTTCGATTACGTGAACGATATCAATGAACATCAAATGGTATAAAGAGATAAATTTTTACTGCTCAATGCTCGCGAACATGATTTCCATTTTAGACCGAATAGTAAAATGCAAACAAACAAACACCATTCTGCAAGATTGTGTTGACAAACCAACATTTTCGTATCTATTCCTTTCTTTGTCAGGTCTATTCTGATTGAATGGATTTTTATTGTAAAATTGTAAGCATATCGTCAGATATATAGGTCAAATCGAGAAAAACCGACCGAAAAATAGAATTTGCTTCGATTGAGTCTTACATAGCTTGCCAATTTCACGTATTTCGGGGGTGGGGAAGAGAAAACGAGTATTTTCACAAGAGACATGTCAACGGGATAAATAGATGGCTTGCAAACAACCTTAACAACAACTCTTGAATAAACGCATAGAAATAGTCACGCGTCAATAACGCATCACTTAAAAAAGCATGATTCAGTAGAAAATTCCACTTATTGTGATCAAAACGCTATGATAATGCTTCATAAAACCTTTACGGCCACATCAAATAGCATACCGAAAGTTGTAACACATTGTCAAAATCAGGTCATGCGATTCATGTTGAAACACGTGATGTAATCAAAAATATTCTGTTTATTCAATCAGATTTATTCTCAGTAATTGTTTACAGTAGAAAATAAAACGGTTTTGATCGAGCATCATATTAGTGCTATTAAAATTAAATACACAAGCAAATAAATTTTTGGTTTCTTGTCTTTTTTTATTATTATAATTGGGCTCCAATCAATCCAATCTTCTTCGTTGAATAGAAAAAACAATATATATTTTTTGTATGTGTTTCAATAATAACTAAATATATTAATACTCTGGTTTTATAAATAGAAGTCACTGAGTTTTGTTAAGAGGTTCAATTGTTAGTCGTCCGTATATAAGTTTCAAGCTACCGTTCTGCATGATATGATGTTTTGATCATCGTTCAGTTTACTTGATTCGATTTCTCAAGTAATGCTTCACCAGATCAATGCACACTTCAGCATCTTCAGCGCTGTTATGGCCGCCGTCTTTGTTATTTCGATAAAAAATATTATAAAAAAATGCTGTAAAATTTGATCTTTTATTTTGTCAAAATTTATGCTCACCATCTTCCTGAATGATCCGTTTGAGATTTTCGATGCATAAGGTTTTCAGCGCTCGTTTCTTCGGTGGTCCCATTTTGTGTGGATAGAGTATGGATGTATCGATGACCATGTCATGGATCAGTTTCAATGCTTTGAAATCACTCTCCAAACTGTGTCCTACCAATATGGTCTTGGAATTGAACATGGATAACAGGACAGCTTGAACGTCACGCAATGTGCGGCTCACATTTTGTAGTGTTTTTTCCGATATACCCGAATATCTATTGATTGCGCAAGTAGAAAAAACGAGGATGGGTTTATGAATTAAATCGAAATTGTGATAATTTTTTTAGGCAGCGCCGGCGGGGAAGGGAAGGTATTCGATCATTTGCGAGAAATACTTTTAATTAGTTGCAAATACACCTCTAAACATATATTACACACTCTATATATCGAGTGTAGTGCAAATGCGTTTAAGAGGGAAAACAGCAGCAGCAGCAGCAGCAGCGGCAGCAGCAACAACAAAACGAATACATTGGTATAACTAGCATAATTATGTGTTGTACATACGTTGTGTTATAATCAATAATCCGATTGTCGGGCTTGACAAGTGCATCGTAAACGATTTTACGGTTGATGTCAACAACAGTGACACGTGTCAATTCTAATCCAACGGTGGTGTAACACATTTCGCAATCCAATGCGAATATATCCTTGCGAGTAGGCACATAGTCATCATCACAGGCAATGGTTTTGATAAAACCAGTTAAATTATTTTGATCAAGATAATCGGTTACGTGGTAATTTGCATACATGCAACCTGGTGAACCAGCCGGCTGTTGACAACATCGATGCGAATTGTCAGCGAAACCTATGAAATATATACATATATAAAAAATACTTATACGAAGAAAAAAAAATCGTTCACATCATACATAATTTAATTGCAGCGTGTATGCTTTTGCATCAGCATAATTTGTGTACATAATCGCATGGTCACTTGTGAAAATAATTGCCATCATGTACATATTTATATAACGGTTATTTTATGTATTGCCCATTAACCGAGATGCATTTTTGTCGCTGATTTTTTGTTTGTTTCTGTTTTGTTTTCACCTATTCTTCTTCTTTTTCTACATTTAAACCCCGCTCCCTCTCGCCCAACAGGTCCTTTGTTTGAACATGAAAACCCCATTTTTTTTCCCTGCTCTCTGTGTGTCGTGGTATCGTGGTATTACATGATTCTCGTGATTACTTTCACATGTAGACATGCAATCGAATGGCCATTAAATTTTTAATCGCAAAATGTTTAATTAATTGTCACCCAATTTACATGCAGACTACATATTTACCTATTATTATTAAACGATTCATTCATTTTAATTACCTCTTCGAAAACCGGGACTTTTTGGGTGATAATTGCAACGATCGATGCATTCCTCATCAAATTCGTCCAGTTTGAATACTTTACCACAGCGGCGACAGTATCGATCATCTGGATTTGCCGGTGTTGCGCCTTGTTTTTTGTGAATGACCGCAACGCCCGGCCGATTACCACTACGCGGATAACCATTTTCCTTCAATTGATCATCGGTCATGCACAGTTCAGCAATCATTTTATGTGCTTTTGAACTGGAAACGTTGTCAATAATATTCGTGGATCCATCGGTAGAACTGAAATGAATAGGTCATATGATGTGAGACAAAATCTAGATATGATTTGTGTCATTTTGCATTTAATTACGGTTTCCGGTTCAAATTCCACGATGTGTTTTGTCCATGTTTTCCTGCTAATATAACGTCGTGTGATATCACCTTATTCTTTTCTGTGTTCACGTTGCCAGCATCCAGAGATTCTTTGCGCAATTTGTTTATGGCCAACAATGCACTGCTTTTGTAAATATTCGGTGTGTTGCATTTCTTGAATACGGCCAATTCCTCTGTTTGTGCCTAAAATCGATCGATCCACATCCAAATCAATATGAATAAATGATTCGTTGATGAATTGCAGTAAATTACTGATCGCTTACCCTTTCCCAAGCATCGTTGCATTCATCATAAATGGTCAAACAATGTTTGACCATCAAGTTGTAATATTGCATTCGAATGTTGTACGAAATTTTGGTTGAAGTGGACTCCAATACTGGAGGCGCTGGCTTGGTATTCTAACACAAAATGAATATAAAATACATGTTTTGTACGCTCAATATGAAATGCGGCTAATGTATTTTTGGAATTTAGTACCTGTGCATTGTTGTTGGTGTTGGTGACGTTGGTTGTGTTTGTGTGAGCAACACGACCGATACCCTTTGATGCTGTTTGAGCAATGGTTTTCGGCATAAATTGTTGATGTTGTGCAATTTTCTGTGCCTTTAGCTGCAACACTTTCTCTTTTGCTCGTTCAATGGCCAGCATATTGCTGACCGGTGCAAATATTTTTGGAGGGAATCTTGGCGGAATTAAAGCGGCCGGTGAAATGAGTGGTGTGAGATTTTGCTTTGGTGCCATCACTTTTGGTTCCGGCTTGTCAGATTCAAGTGATTCAAGTAGTTCACGTTTTTCTTGTTCCTTTCGTGCCTGCTCCTGCTTAGCCTCATTCTGCTTACGTACAATTTCTTGACGCATAAACACCGACTGTACATAAAATATTTTTCATTAGTTAACTAGAATACAAATATATTTATATAGAATGAGATATCAAACCTGTAGAGCATTCTTTACATGGTCCGTTTGTTTTTTGAATGGTGCTATCGGCTTCATTTGTTTGTCGGCATTTTCATGTGCAACCCGTTTTTTCTTTGCAACATCATCGACCTTTGTATCGTCCTCTTCGGCCGACATAGCACTACCGTTTGGCATTTCATCTTGTTTACTTTCGAGCAACGACGGATCAAACTCTTCAAATATCATACGGCATTGGGCCTCCACATCATCTTCTTCACTATCCGTTTCATAAACTACTGAGCTATTGATGCAGTCTTTTGTTCTACTATTATTGCTAATGTGAGTCTTTCTATCCGAGTGACTTGATGAGTGGTGTCGCGATGAAGACGATGATGATGATGATTTTGATCGATGCTCACTTTTGTGTCTACTTTCTTTTGATGATTTACTGCTGTGCCTACTTTTGTCCGTGTCTTTGTCCCTGTCTTTATCCGAATGTTTTGATTTCCGTGACGAATGATGTGAGGATTTATGTGTTGAACTGCTCGACCTACTACTACTACTACTGCTATTACTTTTTCGATCCGAATGAGTTGATCTGTGAGAGCTGCTGCTGCTGTTATGATGTCGATGCGCTGGTGATGAAGATTTATGACTATTTTTCTTCGATTTATGATCTTGTGATTGCGTCAAATCGGTTATTTTTTCCAATCTGTCCGTACCTTTTGGCCCATTTCCCGTAAGATTTTCGTTATTTGTAATTTGATCACTTGATAATTCGGTTAATAATCCGGAAATGTCATCACCATTCAAATCATCTACAGCGGCATTTGAAATGATGTCCTCTTTTCCAAAAACCGGACTCGGTTCATATTCATCGTTTGATGTTTGATTCGGCACGGATGACGGAATATAAGTTGGAATCGGCGCTGAATTGTTACTTATTGCCTTGGGTACATACTCCAATTTCGGCTTTTTGCTTACCGGACATTCTTCGGTTGTTGTACTTGAACCATTCGCTTTACGCGCTTCAAGGATGTGCTTTGGTGTTGGTATGTAAACAGGTACCGATGGCTTTAAAGTTTTAGTGTTTTCCGAAGTTGCGGCATGCTTCGATACATCTGGTGGATTTTCTATAAATGCATAAAAAAACCAAACAAGTTAGTCAATAAAATGTCATAACAGTAAACGCATGCTGATATGTTCAATGCATTATTGTTGACCGTCGCTCCGCGCATTCTGTACATACCTGGTTTTTTGTGATTGTAATGACAATAAGGCCTATTACATGATTCGGCGTCAACCTCGTAAAACGGACAGTTGATCGATTTAAATAATTTGGTCGATGGAAGCATTGCAAGATTGTTTATTAAACAGTCGAAATCAAATTGCTTTCGAGTTTATTTGAGTCACATGCAACATAAACACATGTTTTTCAGTGAAAATTTTCTGTACACATCGCTTTCGTGCAATAGTCAGACGCAAAACATGCATAAATTTTTAAAAACTACAATTAAATCGCACAAGAAAATTTTGCTGCGGCTTTAATAGCGAATTTCCCAAACTTACGCTTTTATTTTTCACTCTTCTTAACAGGAATAATACACACAATTCATTGACAGCCCATTTGAACCGGTTCGTTCCAATTCGGTGTGTGAACCAATCATAAGGCTTACAGAACTACTACGTTCTTTGATGGAATGACGGTGAATAATGATTACATACAGAATTATTCAAGATACATTTGTTGATGGAACACTTTTCATGGGCTTGTATTTCATTCTTTCTATTTTTCCAAAAGAAAAATAGTAATGTATGGAATAATTGATTGACTCGCTGTTTTACCGCAAACAATCACTCGTACATGCAAACTGTATGTGGTCCATACTGAAAATGAAGTCGTATTGTCATAAACGATAAATCGTAAATGTGAACCATTGATTAACGCCGGGCGTTGAATTTTGACAGCAAAAAAAACAGTTTACATACTATTCCAGACGGAGAAAGTCGAACAATAGTTTGCTACACTTTTCGGCCTAAACAAACAATATTTTCGATTGATTTCGGTTTTGTTTTGATGAAAATTTCACGAGTGATTGGAAAAATCAAATAAATTCCGTTGCGTAAAGTGGTACGTTTTGAGTGAAACTAATTCTTTGTGGGTTTGGTGATGTTTTTGAGCGATTGTGTTGACGATTTGTAGCAAAATCTGGTGAAACCTAACCTCGAAATTCGATTGTTTGTTTGTTTGCAGCAAAACAGTGGGCCCGAAATCATGGCTTCGGTACAAGAAAGATTGCAGTCAAAGAGAGTACCGGTGGAAAATTGGTCAATAAGCGAGCGATTGTATTTGGCGTCGGCGGTAGCATGTAGTGGTGATCAGAATTGGATGTCAGTTAGTCGATCGTTGAAGCTTGCTTGCGGTTCGAATAATCGTCCAAGTGATTGGTTTTCGCAAAAATCATGCGCCGCACAATACGAAGTGCTTCTCGGTAATGTCGAACCAACAAAACGCAAGAAACGAAATGAAAAAGATACCAGCCAAACGGTTGTTGAGACCCCAATCCAGCTGATTGTTCGGAAACTGACACAAGAACGCATCGCCGAATTGAATAAATTGATTCAAGAACAGCGCGAAGAATACCAAAAGCTACGAAATGAAATCGCTGGCATACACAACAACGTATATGATGAGAATCAATTGCGGGAAATGCTGCACCAAATTGAAAACGAGGAAAAACAGCGTGAGCGTGAAAAACTGGAATATGCCCAATTTGTTAAGGTAAGAAATATGAATAAGCAATGTTTTATTTGATGAGCTGATATTTAAATGTTGAACATTTTCAGGAACGTGAAGAAAGAAAACGTGAGATCGAAAGAACCTGGCGCTCAAATACGAATCTTCATCAGAGTCCCTCTTCGAACATTCATTCGCCGACTTTAACGCAGCACTTGAATCAAAAAATCAAAGTCGAGGAAATGGAAGTGGATGACCCAAATGCAAAACAAGGAACATCACCACTTCTAACATCGTTGCTCAAGTCACCATCAGCCGCACCAAATCCATCTTCCTCAATACTGCATAACATTGCAAATCAACAAACTCGAGTGGCGGCGCCAACCATCACAAACCTTTTAACGGGATCGGTGACCAATTTATCGGGCTCATTGGCTTCGACACCGCAGGCTGGCACAAAAACAACTATTGCAACATCTGGTACTGCGATCACTACACCATATCCGACATCGATGCATAATCAACCATTGACCGGTCCTGGACCACATGACCATTCGATGGGCAACATTGCACAAAGCCCTTCACAAGCTGCCCCAACTCTGTCTATGCTATTGGAAAATAAGCAGAAGGAAAACTCAATGAAAGTGCCTCCTCTCACTCGAATTGATTCGCAAAATTCAATGTGTTCGATGGATCAGCATTCGAGCGGCGATATCGCCACAAAAACAGAACCAAGCGATGTAGATTTCAACAATGCCGAATCACCTATAAAGGACGAAGATCAACAGTTGATGGATGTTTTCAACGAGCTCATACCCGATGACATGGGTGAATTGGACGACATCATTTTGGATGATCTTATCAACGAGGTACAGGTGGCTGGTGATTCACATGCAGCAGAAAATTTAGAAGGACAAGTCAATTTGGATTTGAAAAACTTTCAAAGCCAACCGGCACACGCAACCGAAGCAGCTGTAATTAAAGACGAGCCCAGCAATGTAAGCGAAAATACTTGCGATTCAACGGCAGCTAATACGAAAGTTGAAGATCCATTCGATGAACTAAAAGAGGTATGTTCCGGGTTTTTTTTCCGGCGAGAATGAAGTGTAAAATTGGAATTCATGTTATCTTATTTGTTCCACAGAGTTGTAAAACCGGGAATGAAGAGAAGGTGCCACCAGTGGATTTACCGAAGGATGATGATTCAGATTTATCGAATGATACTCCATTGTCAGAGCTAATGAAACAAGAAACATCAGCTAAACAGCAGCGTGCCCAAAATCAAGCACCGACAGAAATTTCATTGACAACAGAAGCAGAACAACCGGATGAAGCACAGTGCGAGGCTGAACAACAACATGACCAAACGGTAGAGCCTGAAGAAAGCAATGAATTGGCTCAGGGTGAAAAAAAGGTTGAGGACAATGTTGATTTAATTGATAATCGATCATCTGAACAAGAAGGTTATTTGGAATCAATTCAGACGGATGAACAACAGCAACAAAATGATTTCGAATTGAAGTTGTCTGAATCGGAAGAAAAACCGAATAAGGTCGAAATTGGAATGCCAATCGATTCATTCGAATCGGACAGCAATGATGAAAAATCTATGGAAAATATAAAGCGAGAAATTGAAGCACTGCCCGAGCTCAAGGATAGCAACAGTAGTGAGAATTCGCAAGATGAGAAAATAGGGATCGAAGATTCCGAATTGATTGAGGGAAAAGTTGACACGGACAATGTCGACGAACAACCGAAAGAAGAACCTGTAGATGAAAATGTCGAACCGGATTCGAAACCAGCCGATGATGATGGTGATGGTGAAAGTGTCGAACAATCTGAAGAGTCAGTCGTTGAAATCAAAACCGGAGATGAAAAAGAAGAGAATATCGATTCAATTTCGATCAAGGATGATATCACTGATTTGACAACGACCACAGATGAACCCATTGAACAAAACGAACCCGAAGAAGTGTTATCTGATACGGAAGCCGAGAAAATCGAGCCGGTTGAAAGTGAAAAGGTTGAGAGCGCAGAGACAGAACCATGTCAAGTTGAAAATGTTGAGTCTTCGGAGCAAGAATCGAAAGTAGAACAGGCAGCAGACAGTACAGCAGCTGAAACGGTTGTGGAAATTTTGGATGACGATATACTTGACGAAGACGAATGCATACAAGATGCTGAGGCTCAATCAAAGGACGACGAAAAAATCGAGCCAGACAGTATGCAAGGCGAAACAGATGATCTGATCGAAATTAAGAGTGATGATGAGAAACAAGAGGAAGGTCCAACCGAGGAAAAGAGTGAAAAAGTCGATGAACCGGTTCCAACTACCAAAGTCGATACACAAGAAATTCCAGAAAGTTGTGAAAGGAAAGAAAAATCTGTAACACCAGCTCCAACAGAGCGAAAAGTGTCAACCGATGATGAGCTCTTCGAAGATGCTAAGGAAACATTAGACATTGAAGTGAAGCCACCAAAGCCCGTTACACCCGCCATCATATGCGATACCGACGACGACTCACCCATCGAAGTGGTGAAAGAGGAGAAAGTTGGGGTGAAACGTGATTATTCACGCCGTAAAAAAGATCAGAGCCACAATGAAAAGCGTAATGAAGAGCCAACACCAAGCGAGGATACTGGCGGTTCGATTAGTTCTCGGTTACGATTGAAAGATCGTGATCGATCCGAAAGCCCATTCATTGACGAAGATAGCGGAGAACCAGCAGCCAAAAGTAAACGACGCTACTCTACAACACCAGTCATTGATTCGCTACCAAATTCGCCCGCATCCAGTGATGACCGAGAGTATCGTAGTTGGAAAAAGTCGATTTTATTGTTGTATAATAGTTTGTCATCGCATCGATGTGCATCTACTTTTGCCAAACCAATCACCGAGGATCAAGCGCCCAATTACAAAACCATCATTCTCAATCCAATGGACTTGCAATCGTTGAAACGGAACATCGATTCGGGCCAAATTCGTTCGACCATCGAATTCAAGCGATATGTCATGCTAATGTGCTACAATGCCATTTTCTATAACGTAAACGATGAGGTCACATGTAAACGTGCTAAAGACATGCTCTCGGATGCGTTACAGCTAATTGCCGAGTTCACGGTTACGTGGAAAAAAGACAGTGAAAAAACGACGGGAGCGAGCAGCAGTAGCAGCAGCAGTGTCACCAAATCCGTACGAGGTCGAAAGAGTATTCGATTGCTGCCAAGTAATTAGTCTCAAACAAGCATCATTCAATTCTAATGATAAGCTACTTTTCACACAAAATTCAAACTTTGATCATAGCGATAAATGATTCTTAACATTAAAATGACATTTGAGTTAAAAAAAAAGAAAAAGATATAAAAAAAACAAAAATAACAACTTGAACGAATGCGTATGGTTTGATTTTCTCTCATTTATTTTTGGGGTTAAGCGAGTACATAAATGTTTTTCAGACAATTTATATAAAAGACCGGCTAAAATTTTTCACTTGCATGTGTGTGTTCATCTGCTCTCGGTGTTATACATAAAATTTGCATGTTAATGATGTTATCGAGATGACCGATGCAACGAATTTGAAGCCGTCATGCATCTGTGACTGTGGTCAATGATCATTTCAACGCAAATGAACAATTTTAAAATGATATTTACAAAAGAAAAACGAATCATGTCAATCGTATGTACAATGCAGTCATTTTCTCTCACTCACGTGCTGCTGGTTTTTAAGTCAACGCATACGTTTCGCGTGCTTGGAAATGGTGTGCAGTTTAGTTTGTTTTGGGCACTCGTCGAATGTACAAGCTGTACAGCGGTTTACTTGAAAATCATTACATTTAGTTCGCTTTTAGTCTCATGGAAATTTGATTAAAAAATCCGTAAGTTTGAGAAAATCAGTGGCGCTGGCAGTGATTGATTTATTTTGAATAAGAAGATTGTGAAAATGTTCGAATTAATTTGATTACGGGTGAAAAACGGTAAAAAAGTAGTGCGATACGGCAATCAACGATAGCTTCTTTTTCTCAACGCATTTTTTTGTTGTTGCTGGGAATACCAATTTGTGTGTTTAAAATTCAAGTGGACACATACGATATGACCATAAATCACACGATACACAAGTGTCTGATGCGCTTAAGGTCTTTTCAATTTGAGCTGTTATTTATTTGGTGTTTTTGTTCGATACTCCTTGTGCATACTGATTCACGTAAGTTCAAATAGATAAATAATAAATATCATTACGATTGAAAATTTCGAGGCTTTGTTTTTTCCTACACAAAAAAAAAACATAAAACAAAAAATGCACATAAACGTAATGTTTTTTTTAACGTGACAACTTTTTTTCCGCATCTACTTTCATGGTAAATGTGCACTTGACACTGGTGAAAACGATAGCGATTGTAGTCGTTATAATCTTTGACCATGATAGCATCAACTCCACGCTACATCAATTCAATCACCCAACTTTCTTCTTTGTGTGCACCTCGAAAGAGTTCATTAATAAGCGCGCTTATTGCAGTCACGTTTTCTTCTTTATTTCACATATATATCTGCTGCTACTTTTCTTCTTCTTCTTCTTTTTACCAACTCTGAAGGTTAATTGAACTCTAGCAAAAACAAAAACAATTACGAAATAATTCTTCAAAGTAAAAGTTGCGTTCCGCTGAGCAACCATCTGATTTAAGTTAAAATGTGTTACCAATATTTTTTGTTTTTATTTGATAAGTAAATTGAATTCCGTGTTTTAGACTATCATCGAGATTTTGGGGATATCACAACGGCCCGTGGTGTTTACTATACGTTTGGATTAAAATTGAACAATTCGAAGAGCTTGCGTAGTCATGCAGATCGGCCGAATCGACATTCAATCAACCAATTGAAAAATCAAATAAAATTCATTTTGAATTTACACACAAAAAATGAATCCATCGACAAATACATTATCGAATCGTTTAACGTATTCAATCCGGATCCGTTGTATATTTTTGTGCTGCCGGACGGTTCAAATCGAACGATAGCTTTTCGTCGCAGCAATTTTTCCGATATTTCATTTCCAAACACAACATCACTGCAAACCATACAGACAATTTTAAAATCATCAAAGTATGCACACCTATTTCCAAGCCCAGAAGAAATGGCCGCCAAACAGATGGCTTTAAATGATAAATTTTTTACAAAGTACAATCAATTTATGTCCGATGAAAAAGATCTGTTTGAAAGCGAAAGTTTGAAAATTGTCGAGGAAAATGTTCGAACCGAAAAAAGTTTCTTCAAATTTATGGACAAATTAAACGATCAGGTTAGCAATGATGAAGCTTCAATCGAAGATAGTGGCGAACAGACACCATTAGATTCAAAGCACGCTTCAAGCGACTATCAAGCGTTGATCAGAAATATTCATTCCAAAGACCATGTTGGAAACTATGAACTGGCCAAAGATAAAAAAGAACAGAAAATTGCTTGGCCGGCACACGAAAAATTATCTTGGGATGACTTTGGATTACACGGCTGGATTGGAAATATTCATGAACAACACGACAATCCACACGAAAATGGGTAAGATTTAGTAAAGATTTTTCAATGTGTTAAACAATGGATCTGAATTTGGGAATAAAAATATCTACAGGCGACCAATGCGTATTGAGTTATCCAACAGTGCGCTGCGACAGGAAAATTTATTCCCCAAACAATTCGTACCAATTTTAGCAAACTATGATCCATTGGCACTCTTAACATCGACCACCACCACGTTTAAGCCGCACTCAACTCCAAAACATGATAAAAACAAACACTGGCCACATCCCGTCCATCATTTTACATTCGTCGAACACAACAATCCGACCAACTTCCATGTGTCTCAACGACCAAGACCGCCTCCAATAATCCTTTCCTCCATGCATCAACCCACACAGAATCCGGTTAAACTTTTTGCACCGGCACCCTCTTATTTGCCACCCACAAAGACACCATCGCCAAATTCTCATCGCAAGCCATTCAAATTGGATAATGCAGAAGGAAGTTGGGACGTTAAGTTTAATATTTCGAAAGAGCTATTGGATTTGTTGACCTTTGAGAAGATTAAACTGGAAAATTTCACTAATACGCTCGGCACAAAATCCAAATGGGTGGTTACCAGTTCGCGCCTTAATCATCGAGATGGGGATGTATTCGTTGGAAGAGCCAATAATCCGTTTGGTCACTCTACTAAATGGCAACTAAGGTCAGTGCACATAGCATAGTGGATGCCTCTAATCCATTATCCGTAGAAACCGTTCACAATTTTAAATTATATCATTTCAAAATGCATTTTTGACGGAACGAACATGAGATCACTTCAATTGCAATCATCGAAACTATTTCATCAATCGCGAAAATTCCATTGGCAAACGTGGCAATGACTTATATATCTGTATCATTGAAATAATTTGTACTTGGAAGTTGGAAATGAAATTTTCCACAGATTACCCAATGATATGAACTGAACTGTTGTTGAGATTACAAACCAGTAGTATTACTATCAAAGTATTTAAAGTTTGAGTGAGTGCAATGAAACCATGACATTCATTAAACAGGATTTGCACTAAAGACAGAAGAGAGGCAGAAAAAAAAAACAAACACAACGTCAAAAAATCGGTTGAAAGATTTATTGCATTGAAACATCGATGCACTTGCACATAGTCAACGTGCGCGCGTCTCCACGCAGCTGCACAGATATCTCAGATAATTACGCTCATATTCTATGTATAGCCATTGAATGGCAATACCACTTTCGATTTCCTCTTGATGGTGAGTACCGCACGCGCATTACCACGATGTGCGCCGCCCGTGTCGATTGCTCTATCGTTGTTGCAGAGAGTTTTGCATGTTTCCACTGTTTTCGTCATGCACGACATTTGCATTGTCGCATTGTTTTTTCTTTCCTTCTCCGGCGTTTGTGCACTGCCTATTTTGGCATTGCAACTACTTAAACACAAATGGCCATAAAATCACTACGTATAACGATCGCACTTGCAGTGTGCTCATTACCCGCATTGAAGATCCAAACTGCATGTTCTGCTCTCGATTTATTTACACACCGGTTAGGAAAGTGTAAATGGAAGAAGAAAAAAATGGTAAAAACTTCACGAAAAATATGTAGCTTACAAGCATTTCACCATTGCTAAAAAAAACTCCATCGCAAATAGCATGCAATTTTGTATGCCATTCATATTTTAGCGTGAGGAAAAGCAAACGGATGAATTTATACCAATTTATATGAATTAATTGTGTGTGTGTGTGTGTGTGTGTGGGTTTTAATAACAAGCATAAAGACCGTACAATAGATTAGTACACAAAGCTGGAAATTCACATCGACGATAATACATATATATTACTTTCATTTTCGCTTGACGGACGCCATAGTAATTTCCTCCATTTCCAGTATTGCATCACAAAATGATGTCTCGAAAGATGAAACGAATGACGATGGCCGACAAAAACGCGATGTGATCGATTTGTATTCGATGGTAAAATGTGCAACCGGTTGTGATCCGCTAATTTTTAAGGGTTATGGTTGTTACTGTGGATTTCTGGGCAGTGGCAAAGCGTTGGACGGGATCGATCGGTAAAAGAAATTCAAACAAACCTATCAAATTCACAATTTTATTTAAGTGTTTTTGCAATTGATAACATTCAATTTGTAGATGCTGCAAAATGCACGACTACTGCTATCACGCAGCGAATTGCCCCAAATTCTTAGAGTATTTCGTGCCATATTTGTGGAAATGTTACAAGGGTCGACCATTGTGTGGTGAGTCAACTCCAATCCTTGCGTCTATATTTGTATGGACTTAATTGAATTATTCGTTTATGTGAATTTAAAGCGGTTGACCACGGTGAATGGGGAGGTCCGTCATCATGTGCAGCAACATTATGTGAATGCGATCGGGCTCTCTCGAATTGTCTTCGGCGCTTTTATTGTCCTCGAAAGCGTGCCGTTTGTGCTTCATCACCTTTACGACTTTTGCAGAACATTTTAATGGACGTGTGAAACACGAATGACAAAACAATTGTTGACCTTAAAACGTTTGTAAAAAGAGAATCGAATAAAATCCTGTGAAAATAAAGACTATAAGAAGAAAAAGTTGTTTTTTTTTGTTTTTTTTTTTCAAATATCGAAACGAAACGATGAAAAAGCCAAGAAAAATGGCACTAGAGGTATATTCTTTTAATATTTAGTTTTATTCAAAAGTTTTGTGTTTGTTCTTTGTTTATTTACAAAATATATAATGTTTGATGTTGACGAACTTATTCAGCGCGTATTTTATCTAATATATATATATAGATTTGAAGGCCCCTTTAAGCTATTTGATTAATCATTTCATCAGTTAAATTTTTTCGTTATTTTTTCTTTTGTTTTTATTCACTTCTTTCCTCCTATAGTGTGGTCTATAAAGTTAGATTTATTTATTATAAGAATTCATTTAAATAATTTTCATTTCATTTGTTCTGTTTATTCGTTTTAACAAGGCGTTCTTTCGTATAATTTAAATTCCTAAAAACATTATTTGCTCTTCATCATTTCTTCTCGTTTCTTATTAATTTTTGTTTAAATTTTTTCTTTGTAATTTCTGTTTTCAATTCATATTTTTTTCTTCTTCCTTTAAATACTTCGTATCATACAAGATTTTTAAAAGCTGTCTTCGATCTCACAAATGCTAACATTCAGTTTTCAACTTTTTCCACTTTTTTGCATGTTTGTTATTTAATTCGTTGCTAAATTTGTTTTACAATAAATAAAGACTCAACTAATTCATTACAATGAACTAAAAATTTGTGTTTATGGTCCCATTTTACTCTCTCATATTCTACCTTTTATTCTTCAAATTTGTATCCAATGTGTGTATTTGTTTTTCATTAAATGACGTGAAATTACAAAATTTGGGTTGAAAACCAAATTGGAGACTTATTGAAAATGAAAAAAAGATAATCTCTAAGAAATTATATACAACATCGTTTGGAAATGTTGGAATTTAGTGCGTGGTGGTTGCATGAAGTGCAAGTAAGTTCACCGGTAGAGTTTTTTTCTTTAAATGAAAATCGTTTGTTGTTTAATATCAGTTTTAAATCGTAATCACTAAATTATACATGGTTTTACTTTTCGTTTTGTTTCATTCATAAAATTGACATTTGTTTTTCTAAGAACAGTATTCCATTGCAACTGGCATATTCCTCATTTTTAATAAAACATACACAAGTGGAAGATTCCAAACAAAGACATGACAATAAATTACGTACTTTACATTAATCATATTATTTTCATTCCTTCTTCTTCTACTTTACGTTTGTTCATACAACAGTTTTTGAATTTATTTGCATTTGTACAGCTAAATATTGTATCATTTTGATTTTGTTGTTTGTATTTTTCTTTTATCTAATGAGTTTGCATTGTTTCGATCCTTTGTTGGATAGATGAATAAAATTTCGTTCTGCTTTTGTTTTGCTTCTTTCAAAATTGCTCTAATGACTACTGAATATTGTGTGGTTGGAGGAGGCTTCCTGAAGAACTCACTATTCAAATCGATGAAGAAATATAAAATAAAACAACAATTTCTATAAATGCTTGAACTGGCCTGTATCGCTTACTATTATTATTTTTAAAAGAGTCATCCAGAGCGAAATGTAAGTGATGAGTTGTGCAAGTCGGAAGAAGGACTTTGTTTTTTTTGGCATGATTTTGGAGATGAAATATTAATTGATTTTCAAAGAACTGATGACAAAAAGATAGCGAAAAGAGTTCGCAATTTACGATAGATGAGAGATGACAAAGAATTGATGAACTTTAGTTTTTTTTTCTACTGAAACCACAATACTTGTTTTTCCTTTAATACGTGTAAAGCCAATGGTATAAATATTGTGTTTATCTTATACTGAGTGCATCTGAGTGGCCGATCTAAAACGAGCGAACAATTTATGCATAACAACAATTGTGTATGTATGTGTGTGAGTGTGTGTGATTCACCTACTATAATCAACCATTTGTTGCAGTCTCAGTATCGTGTCGTTTGATTTTCTTTTACTTTTCATAAAATTTTCTTTGTTTTTGACTAAATAAGAGCGTTTAGTCAAACAAACTACAGCATCTGTGTGCCCTGTTTCGTTTCGTATTATATATTTAATACATCTATTAAATATCGAGACAAATGAATGTTGAATGTTAGAAGGGAAGGAGAAAGCACATGAACTTGAAGCAAAATGAACTATAATTTCTAAGTTGGAAGCTTCCACAAGAATCATACACGTATCATCATCATATCGTCCTTTGATACATTTCGAAATGAACGAAGAAAAAAAATACAATACTTGGTTGTTCATTTCATGCGAAACAATTGCATACATTACTTAAATACCTACTGCTTTTCATTTGCGCTTTGTTTTTGGAAAATAAACATTTTATTGACGCATTACAACTGTTTTCTTCTTTAGTTTCTTGTTTAAATAATTTTCTTTCTTTCTTCTTTGATTTTCTTTTGTTGTAAGAACTGAAATAGTCTAGAGTTATCGTAATTTTTTGTTTTTGTTCCTTTGTACACTTTCGTTTTATACTTATAAGCATAAGAGACTTCTGAGAAGAAAAAAAAAATTAAGAGAAATTTCAGACAAAATGAAAACAGATCCATCATGTTTGTTGTTTTGTAAATGTCATTTCATTTTTGTTGTTGTTGTGATGTTTAAGCCATCTACACTCATTCGAGTGACATTCTCGGAATAAAGCATTATGTCAATTGTGTTCATTTATTGTGTTGTGTTGTCGTTTTTTTTTTAATTTTATTCAATTTTTCTTTTTTTGAAAAAAATTCATAGGCACTTTCACAGTTCAATAGTTTCTCTTTTATTATTATAATTATTATTATTATTACGAGAGTCCTTGTTTTTCGTATTAGTTATCTCTGTGTTGTTATTTTTTTTTAATTTCATTATGCATTTAATTTTTTTTATAAACAAAATGAATATAAAACTGGTACATTTAAGCTCATCTAAACAAATTTACCGTTGTACAATTTGATTGAGTATCGAGTTTAATTGATTAGCAACAGTCGTAGATGTTCAGTTAAAAAAAAATTCTCTGTACGATCGAAGAATGTTATATAGAGACTGCAAATTTACCCGGCAGCCGGCTGCCCGAACATCTTCATTTTCGGTTTGTTTGAAATTCCATTAATAAAATGACTATTTCCATATTTGTTTGTTGGTTTTGTTTCTCTCATTTCATCCAAATGTTCCACAAAAAAGCTTCGAAAACGTCTGAGTGAGGATTTCTTAAAAGTATTTCCGTTGCGTTAAAATTAAGAACATAAAGGTAATATTAAATATTAAAATTTCCCTTGTTACAAATGTATTCTCCGAGCATCAATTGTTTGTTTGTTTTTGTTATCAACAATTCGTTAATTTTGTAGTAAAGTTTCTGAGTTTATAGAGAAGAAGGCATCACTCGTTAAGAAAAAAAAAATCGACCGATTGCTTGTATGCTTAGAATTTTACACGCTTCTATCAATGGCTCATTTAAAATTATTTTCTGTTGTTTTCATTCTCTCTTTTTTTTTCTGCGTTATATCTTTGAGTATATTCGATAACTCATGTAAAAGTCGCTCAACATTTTCTTTTAAACTGCAATTATTCTGCTCTATGGTCATGCTATTCCGGAGTTGTTGTAAGTGCCACCATAAAAACCACGGATTTAGTATCCGAGTTCGATGTGCGGCTCTCAATGAGTGCAAACAGTTTTCCTAGGATTTTGATTTACAATGCGTCACCGATAAGGTGTACTCAGCAGCACTTCCAGCCAACATGGGCACGATATAACTTCCAGTCGAGTGTAGTTTGGGCCCCAGCCTTTGGCAAAACTTATTCGTACACTGTATTTATCGACTGGACCGAGTTCATTGCCAGCAATTGAAGTTGGCCAGGCATAAGACTCCTTTGCAGCCCTGTCAATGGAATCAACGAAAAAAAAAAATAAAAGGAAAACACAACAGTTAGCTTTTCAATTCAAATGCAAATGCAAAGAGCACAGTTGTCTCTTTTGACTCAACCGTATGCGCCACTTACTTATCATGATCGAAAGCACGAAGACAATGACCGGGTGGAACCCGGTAAACAAGCACAGATCTCGAATCAATATCACTAAGTGTAGGTGAATGTACAAAAACTGGTGCCGATGAACGGTTATATATCCACACACCATCCTGTTCTCGACTTAATGTCACCCCTGTTAATTACAATTTACAAAAAATACATAATTAGTAATTAGGCATTGATCGATGGGGCAAAACGCGCGCGCGCTAATGCAATATTTCAAAAAAAAAAAACACGTACCCAAGCCAATTTTTTGTCTGGCTTTTAGAACCACGTCCGGTGTAGCCGACAATCGTTGCATTGCCAATGTTGTTAGACATAGGCCATCGCCGCGCGTTTGTTCAGCGAATATATTCACAGCCGAGTTCTCTACCGGAAATAAGCGACCGACACGTTGCGATTGCTCCCAATACGCCAACTGACACCAACCCGATGATGATTTTTCTGTAATGCAATAATACAAACAATTATTATTTAAAACAAAAACGGAAAAAAAATTGCCATTTGGATAATATGCAACTATGAAATAAGACAGATACATATTTAATTGGCGTCTGATGATCGCTCATAATTACATACATTATTAGCTAAATGTAAATAAGTAGCCGAATATTCAGACATTGGTGTCGACATTGTCGTATCAATGATGTCAAACACATTGGTGATTCATTTTCATTTCAAACTCGAAGGGGGAAAATTCGAAGCAGAGATCGAGCAAGCAAGAGAGAACAGTTCCACCGAAATGGAAACGTCAAAATCACTTCAATTTTTTTTTTAAATCATTCCAACCAACGATTTAGGAATCAAATGCGCCGCAGATAACACCATCATATTAGAATCCATTATGTTTTCATTAATCGCATGTGAATTCAATAAAAATTGCCTTGAAAACAGCACAAAAAAAACCATATCTCTAGCGAAAGAAACGAACGGCATGGGCAAGAAGCACGAAAAAAGTCATATAAATAAAACAACATCGGCAGCCCGATGCGACTAGACGAAACGATTGTTTGGCGCCTGTCATATGCAAACACACTATTGCATGTGATTCACACAAATAATAATATCAACAAGAAAAATAAAAAAAAAATCAACGAACGTCGAACAAGCGAGACGAAAACAAGCGAGAGCGGCCCATCTTCGTATTGAACGTGTGCAAGCCTCGCCAAACGAGGAACAGGAATGAGCGAAAGAAAAAATACTTTTGTGTCGACAGCAAAATTGCTGCCATACACACTTACATTGATAAATAAGCACGCAACAGCTCACCACTTACATCATTCATGCCGATTTTTTTTTTCGTTCGTTCGTTCGTTCGAAGTGCCATTTTTATGTGTTCTTCATTCTATAGATTCGATTTATTTGCTATGTGTTTAGATTTACGCACGAAATATATGAATGTCTACGGCTGTAGACTACGACTCACTTTGGTGCGACACTCGCTATGGATGCCGACTATTTTTCGTCTTCTGAAATTCGTTTGATCAGACGATTTCATTTGTTCATTCGTTTTGAATGGAAGATGCTCATATATTGGACCCATTGAGCTATCTACCTTTTGAAAGTTTCATTGTGATGCATGTGGTAGACAATTTTTTATTCCTCCAAATAAGCCATACTGTTGACCACAACAATTTGGAATTTTGCGGTCTTTGGAGCATGACATTCCGTCTGTTATATTTTGCCGTCGTCAAATCCGCCGAAATCCACTAAACATTTGATTAATTAGCTGATGCAATGAAATCCAAAATGCACTTGTTTTGCAAAAAACTACACCAGAACTCATATGAGACTTATAATATCTCATATTTCAAATGAGACATTTTAATGGGAATTGGTGTTCGCTTTGTCGCTTATTTCTTTTCTCTTCTTCTTCTTCTTCTTCTTCTTCTTCTTCTTTTTAATTTTTTCGGTGTTCAGCAACCCTCAAATTTGCGACTCGTACTTATTCTGTGTAGTGTGATTTTAAAATATCTTTGGCGAACAAAGAATGCCCAACAAATCAACTAAAATAAATTTTAGATGGCGCCGAACAAAAGTCAAAGGAAAGAAAATTCTATCATATGTCTATAGCTTTTGGGTGATCGCATACTTATCAAAAATAACGTGAACTTGAACTGCTTTTTTCGACTGTTTTACGATTCGATTTTGTTAATTTTTTTTCTGTTCGAGGGGAGAATGGATTGCCCGCGAGCCGCGCCAGTCTCATTTCCCCTACGCTTTTCGTCAATGTCTGAGCTTGTGGATGAAAAAAAAAATAAATAAAAAATTGTGATCGATTATTATTGGATCGATGAATACGGAGCCAGAATTTAAATTTCGATCTTAAGGAAATGTGTGCGACGTATGCTTACGGCATACGTGCACGCTTGCTTTTTTGGTTTGTTTTTTATTCCTTCGTTTTCGCCAATATTTTTTCGAGGTGATCGAATCATTTCGTTGTTTGCTTTATATTCGGTTCGTGTAGAAATCCACACAAATAGCGGTTTCTGCACACCAACTAAACGTTCGCATTAAATGTGAAATGTGTGTTGCGCGCGTTATAGCAACAGTACATCCGAAATATTTTTGCCTTGAAAATGACGGCGCCAGTATGGTGTTTATTCTTTTTGTCATTCTCGCGCTATGTGCGATTTTTTTCTCTTCGTTTGCTTCTCTTCTGTTGTTTCGTTTTCTTCTTTTTAATTTTCTTCTGATCATTGTTTATTTTACGATTATTTCACACATATTTTCATTTTTGTTAGAGAGTTTCTCTTTTGCCTGACTGCATTAATGTGATATGATAATATATCTATGTAAATATATACTGTGAAATACGTTTCGGATTGTATTTAATCATTCAAATGTTCCTGTTACATTGTGCGCGCGGTGCAAGAGTGGGGGAGAGAGATAGAGAGAGAAGAGTCCGTTTTGCTTCGACTACTGAATTGCAGTTTGTGTGTTCTGTTTTTACGTGTGATTGTTGCCGTCGTATCGGTGGCTCCAAACGCTGGCACACACTGAGACTGCATACGTACAAATTTAAATAGATTCGGAATGTATGGCCATATGCTGTTCGATCGGAATGTGACATCAACATTTTTGTATTAACTTTAGCTTTCGGCTTTCGGAGAGAATGCCATAAAATCGAAAACCGTTGAGTTCTATAGTCAAATGGTTGAGTCGTTGAGATTTGACTACGGGACGATTGTGAGGCTTTATAGCAAGATCAAAGTCATGTAACAGGAACTCGTTTCATTGAAATTCACCGATTCATCCACTTGACTTGATATCAACATCCATTAATGGTCGTTTGACAAATCTATTTTCTACTAAATTCAAAGTGTGTCTGATTGGTGACTTTTTGCGGAAATGGTTGACGACTAATGGAAATAAAAACGAACTCGATCATCACTCGAAAAAAAGAAGAAGATTACATCAACTTCCATTCCAGGTGGATATTCAAAACCATTGTATCTAATTACAAGAACGATCCCAACTGGCAATTAATTTGCCATTATATTCAGCCAATCGAAGAGACAGCTTCTTACTACTTGGCTGCTCATGCTTATCGAGCGCCCAAAACGTGCATAGGTGGTATGTGTATAGCATGTACGGCGCCTAAAACCACAACAGCATTATGTATACGTGCATTCCCTGCCTAAGCCGCAAGCGAAAATTCACTTCATGCACAACCATTAAATCTGCCATCGGTTCATTTAAAAATAAAATGAAAATGAAATAAATAACAAATTGAAAGCAGAAAACAACACGGTTGAACAAAACGACACATAAAAAATCATACGAATGTATGAATTTTGTCGCCAGCATGATGTAGTTATATTTCGTATTTCATCAATCATTAATTATACCAAAGTGAAAAATGTCGCATTATTTTTAAATACATTCGAATAAGAGCACACATGAACTTTCGAAGTGTATGACTCTTTTGAGCATCTCATACTTTCGGTATGTGCCGTTTGCGAATAAATCTTGAAGGAAAACAACTGAAAAACCGCAGAAAAAAAAACAAAATACACGAAAAAAATAAAAGTGTCCGCTGGTGTATTTTAAATTTATAAATAAAATTGGTTTTGCAGCAGCCGAAGATTGAAAATCTCTCTGGGCAATAAGAGAAAGAGAACGAAAGAGAGCGAGATAGAGAAGAGAACATCAACAACATATGGCATTAGAACCTTCTTTCGGTCGTTATGTATACGATGCATACACACACACACATGCACATCAATACACCATTCAACGAATGCTAAAGAATGCCACAACACATTCGCTCCCGAGCACGGCATACATACCGGGAAAATGTTACAATTTATATAAAATGCTGTTGTTCTTCTTTTCACCGACTCGAAAAACGCCGAACTGTAGAAAATGAAAGAAGAAGAACACCGATATACGGCGTTGCCGTTGAAATATAAGTAGAAAGCATGGGTGGCCACGATATGCATGCAACAAGCGCATATCGAGCACATTACGCACACGAAATCAATTCTAATGACGACGAGTTTTTTTTCCCTCTTCTCTTTAGAATTCAATGGCGTTTCAATGAACAATATTGAATCCAAATTACACACACACACACACACACACACACACAAATAAACACATACGCTCACACTTACATCAATTTCGATGCACTGCGATGAAAATATTTGGATACAGAACAAACCATCGGCCGTTAGTTGGTATAGAATGTCCCAAAGGCATTTTATTTTCATTAGAGTTAGATCATGTCGATTTCCGTTGATGGGTTGTTGTTTCTTAAAGTATGTAATAACGGCTGGATTAGATAGATCAACATCGAGTCGATGATGTATTCGAGCATTCTTCACAGAAATGTGGGCACAATAACAGTTTAAAGCCTAAATCTTGATTGATTAAAAGATGTTTTTCAACGGTGAGTGTTTCCACACAGAATAAAAAGAAGAAGAAGAAGGAAGAGAAAAAAAAGTAATCGGTACGATGTGGATTTAATCACACGCGGTCAATTTGTTCTGCGTGCTTTTGCAAGGGGAAAGAGGGGAAAAAGGCAGAATGTAATAGACACACATCGACGGTGTGCATGCATGTGGATGTGTACAGTATTAACAAAATCCAATAAAATATATGGCTAGACATCATGTTGGCGCCTATTTTAATTATGAACTACATATTTGATCACTGACTATAATAAATCGGCATTTATAATATATGATATATGCTAGGCATACGGTGAAGTGCACAGGCACATACATCCAAATCCGAAAAGTGTAGTGGAAGATGTGAATAAAATTTACAGATAAAAACGGTGCGTGGTAAAAAGGTGGGCGTTCAAGAGAGAAATAAAAAAAAATATGACAACCGAAAAATAACAACAACTATTTGTATGAGCAAACGAGCAAACAAACAAATAAACAAAAAAACTCATCTGAAAGAAACTATGGATTTGGAAGAAAGAAAAAAACAAA